TACAAAAAAGTCACTTTCACTATGTATATTTTCCCAAATCTGATGGCCTGCTAAAATCCTTAGGTCATTTAAGTGACAGTCCAACCTCATCAAAACATTGGAAACAGGAGCAATTGGCAAATTATGACACAAACAACTGAGCCTATTCCCACATATACCCTCCTCAATCCTGATAGGTTGTTTTGGACATAGCATTTCAGACACGATGTATTTGCCACAAATTTTCCATTTTCCTGACTAATAATTTTGTAACCGTGTTTACAAGTTGCAGAAAATGGTAAGGTCGAAGTATATTACAAAGATTTGCCCGTAGATGGTCAAATGTAAACTTTTTATAGATAAATAAAATTTATTGTTGTATTTCCTGTGAACATGTTGGCACTTCTCCTGACCTTCTAGTAAATTCATTTATTTGAAAACATATCAGAGCATACCATCTAAAACTTATCAACCTCTTTAACACGGCCAATAACAACATTAACTCGACTTTAAAACTAAAGAGAAAACTTAATTGATGTTAGGGATTGATTTCTATAATGTACAAATGAAATCCAGGTATTGTGTTTGCCGGGTTTCTACAAATATCTTCATGGGTCGAATCCGAAGTCTCCCTTCATCGTCAAGTTTTAATCATGATATTCTAGTTCTCGCTTGTTTTCCTTTAAATTAAACTTTCGCAGCGCCAGAAACATGTTAGGCAAAGTTTGCAAATTTCGTATATCAGTTGCTTGAGTTGCAAAGGTCATGGACAGTCGGGTTAAAGACACTGGTAATTACATACAGTTACGGCAGAGGTTAATAAATTAAATAACAGAAAAAATCTCAAAAAGACGCCGTGTGTTTCCAGCCATAGGCTAATCATGAACCGCTAATAGTCAAAAGAGGAGTTAAAAAATAACAGGTTTAAACGAGTTGAAAGTAACTTTCCTTTTTAATTTTCTACGCTTATCAGAGGAGGTTGGAACGTTAAGGAAACAGCGGTGGAGCAAGTAGTCATACCTGGCAACTTCAAGAGAAGATGTGAGAGAAGCCCAAAGGATTCTGGCGTATTGTTTTACTGACTCACTGTTCTCACGTCAACCTCAATATGATTTAATTTCAACTGAAACTGACATCATCACTACATCTGACAAAGGAAACGTCCGTTTCAAAACATCAGGAACACCAACGAAGGTAATTAGTTGCTTGATAATACCGCAGACTAACATGGGTGTTTGTCAGCTTTGCATTGAAGTTGCGACAACATCGTCCCTTAGTTCTAGACCCCGT